GGGCCAGGAGATGGTTCGCTGATGCGGGGTGAGAGGCATCTGTCTTCAATTGGGGAGACATGGTGAGCCCAGATGGCCCATTCTTCCTGTTGCCCTGCAGACCTGGAAGCAGGCTGGCCCTGGTAGTACAGGAATCTTCAACTTAAAATTCTTGGAACCCACAGTCAAAGCACTGCCATAGGAAAAAGAGGATAATTTTCAACAATCTGGCTCTTTGTGGTTGGCTTATCAATCGTCACCAAAATCACCATTGACCAAGAGCGTAATTAGCCTAATTAATAGCAGCAACTTACTTCAATAAGGCTCAGTTATGCTGTGACTTGTGGTTTGTAAAATTAAAATCCAGGAATAGCGTGGCCCCACATGGGATTTTATTTGTTTATTTATTAATTTAATTTATTAGTATTTTTTAAATTTTAACTTCTCAGTATACACTGTAGTCGATTTTCATGACCCTTTACCCGTTCCTCTTCCCAGCTCCCAAAGGAGATTTTAGGTGCAACTCAGGGAGAATTCGATCAAAGACAGGCGATGACACCAAAGTGCCTAACAGGTGGCCCCTCATCACGAATCCCAAGGCTACTAACTACAAGGAGAAATGAGGCTAATAGCTTTAATAACTACTAATGGCACATGAAAATGATTAAAAGAAGTTTACGAGGAGTGAATGTGATGCAGAGGCTGGCACAGGTGAGGTGACGGTCTCCCCGGTGGGGACAGTGACACTGCTTTCTCCTCGTACCTGTCACTCTGCAGGTGCTAGAGGGTGGGGCTATGTCTGATTCTCTTGTGAACTGCCTCTCCTGACAGCAGAGCCCAGCACCTTCCATCTTGGCCAGGACGGGAGCTAACAGGCACCATACGAAGAAATGTTTTGAAAAGTTACCTGGGGAACTTACCCACACACGTGCCCTCATCTGAGAACCGGAAGCCCTCCATGCATTCACAGCGGAAGGTCGCTGGGTGGTTGTTGCAAATGGCGTTGCTGCCACACACCGAGGGCTGTTCTGCACATTCATCAATATCTGCAGTGGATTTTTTAAAAAGGCAGCATTTTTTAACCTCCTCAGACATCATGGAATATAACAAAATAGAAAACATTTTCATGGGAGAATGAATGAACTTTAAAACTAAGTTTTCTATACTCCAAAAGTAGTGTTCAATATGATTTATTTTTCCGTGCATAACTTTAGAGACCGATCCCAGGCCCTTTTCCTAAGTAACCAAGGGATTCCTGCACCTGCCCTGGTGCACAAGTCACTCACACAAAATTGGCAATACATGTTCCAAGGACACAGAGCCAAATATGCGGACTGCGAGTAAGGATCTGACACTTCAGAGCATGTTTAAATACACAATTGTTCAAAAATGATACCTTTCTCCAATTACAGTTACAAAGAAAAGTTGAACAATTTAAAGCCTAATTGTGAATTTTTTAATATTACCCAGAGTTTAATGGACTAAAAGGAAAACCATGAACTCCTAAGACTGTAAAGGAACTAGCAGAGTGATGTCCCTTCCTGTGACAATACTATGGTCACCACATGGGGTAACATAAAGCAGAAAGCACATGCTCTGGAGTTGGACATAGCTAGGTTCAAATCCTGCCTCCTTTAGTTACTAGCTTGTGTGATCTTGGGCAAGTTACCTAACTACTTGGCCTCAGTTTCCCCATTGGTATATAAGCATAATGCTATTCATCTTGTGAGGACTGCAGAAAATGGAGCTCCTAGCACACCCAAGACATGCAGCGATTATTATAATTATTAGGGATTGAGCATGCACCCTCAGCCTCGGTGATGGGTTTGGCTGATTCTGGGAACATGGTCCTCAGATGGCCGCTAGGCTTTGGGGGCCAGTCTGTGGCTGCCACCAGAGCAAGGCTGGTTGGCCCAGGTAAGGAACTGAGCTAACCTGTCATTACACTGGTTACCTGTCCTCTGATGGGTTGAAATGAACATGGTTACACAAAGTTCTTCCAATGCCAACCTTGTACTCAGAGGGTACACAGTTACTTCTGGCAGTTCTAAAAACAGATGTGTGTGATAGAGGATTTTGTAATGTCTGAAACCACACAACTCCCTCCCCCTCCAAAGCCCCTTCCAATGCTTTAATGTGAATCTTTCACTCTTTTTTTTTCCTTTTTTTTTTTTTTTTTTTTTTTTTTTTTTTTTTTGACCGGGAA